AGAGAGAGAGAGAGAGAGAGAGAGAGAGAGAGAGAGAGAGAGAGAGAGAGAGAGAGAGAGAGAGAGAGGAGATAAACATCTCAGATAGAAACATATTGCAAAGGCACTGAAACAGAACCAGAGCATGAGCTGGGCTCCAGCACTGGGGCTAGATCAGTAGATCTTTAAAAACAATCTGGCCTGCCTGCAAGATATCCTAGGGCAAGCTGGGAGGTGGTAGCACTAAATTAAAAATTCCAGCACTCGGGAGGCAGAGACTTGTGAATTTCTGTGAATTCAAGGCCAGCCTGGTCTACAGAGCAAGTTTCAGGACAGACTCCAAAGCTTCACAAAGAAACCCTGTCTCGGAAAAACAAAACAAAACAAAAAAAATAAAAACAAAACCAAACAAACAGATATCCTAGGGCAACAATGGGACAAACTTGTAGGAGCAGCCAACCGCTGTCTAATTTGATTTAAGGCCCACTTGTGAGACAAAACCTATACCCAACACTGCATGAGTGATAAGATCCAGAGACTAGATAACTCAGAAACCTGGGGTAAAACAAAACACTACTGCTCTGAAAAAAAGGAAAAGATCATTAAAATGAATCCTAATGATAGTCTGCTATTCTCATAGACCAATGCTTTTATCCAGTCCTCATCAGAGAGGCTTCCTCTGGCGGCAGATGGAGCAGATGCAGGAGCAGAGCACAGCCATTATGTGGGTGCTGAGAGTGGAGTCCCTGTCCTCTGGTAGAGAGGCTCTTCACTGCTCTCCCTTCACCCCCCCCACCCCATTTTATGTTTTGAGACAAGGTCTCACATGGCTGAGCTGACCTTGAATTCACCAAGTACAGAAAATAACAAACTCCTGATCCTTCTGCCTCTCCGCCGAGGGCTCCAACTACTTAGAGACGCGTGCACCCCGACCAGTTTGTGTCAGGAGATTTTGTGTAATAAGTTGGGCCGGAGGCAAGCCTACGAATCTTCACATCTGGAGGCTAAACCTCAGGGTTACGTCTGGTGGTCCCCCTAGGGGTGATTGCCGATCTACAAAGAGAGCTGCCGTTCTGAACAGGAGCCCAAAGGTCGCACCCAGGAGGGATCTGCAAACAAGTCGAATGCCTGGATAATTAGGGCGAGACCACTGAGGAGGAAGGAGGTGCTGTCTTTTCTCTCAGGGCAAAGTGGAGCTCCCAGGTCTCAGTCGCATCGCATCCTCCGTGGTGTGAGCCGATTCAGAGAATCTGAGTCCTGGCATTCTTCCGGGGTGGGGACATCTAGGAAACTGTCACCAACCCCTCCCACAGAAGGGCTCTATGGACAGACGCAGCGTGCTGACTCCGCTGCCATCTGCCAGGTGTGTACTCTCCAGCTCATTTGTTTTGTGACCCCTAAGGAAGCCACCACCACCAGATCTTCTCCAGGCGTGTCGTTGGGGATTTTAGTGTTTTGCAGCGTCTGAGGTACCCAGCTTTTGAGTTACGGTACTCAAATGATCTGTGTGTGGTTGCTCCAGGAACCTCAGCTTGAAAAAAAACAAAACAAAACAAAAAATCCTACCATATCCTGTTGCTTGGACTCACACAACCTCCAGGAAGCCCTCCCTGATTAGATCTTAGTCACTATCCTTGGACTGGCCTCAAGCCTACTGGAGCCAGCCCAAGCCAGGCAGTTTGGATTCCTTAGCCTCGTCACTTCCCAGGGATTGCCTTTTCTTCCCCAATGAACAGCTTCTCCTCTTCGCTTCCGTCTGAACTCTGACCGCCTCAGTTCGCTCATCCGAAGAACATGAGGCCAAAGGCATCCGCTGCACAGGTTGATCCTGAGAGTTAAGGAGGTAGCGCGTTGGCCACGGCGGAGGGAGCTGTCCCCACGAAGTTGCCCACACCCACTCTGCCTTTGTCCCAGCTGAGACCTGCACCTGTCTGTCCTGGCCACTGATGGTTCTCGGCTGCCACCTACTGGACACTCCCTAGCGCCCCAGGCCCCTTTCATCAAGGGCCTGGCTACCTGTTTGATCCTCCTCTCTCGTGGGGGCCCGGGCGGGTGTGGAAAGACGCACGCCTTCCCTAACACGAGTGACCCTGGATCCCAGCTCTCACCCTTCATTACTTGCACCGTCTCACTGACTTTTTCCTCTGAGCTTCATGACCCTTATCTGTAAAATGGGAAGAAAGAAAAGGAAATCACGGAATTGTTAGCTCAGAGCTTGGCCCCTTGCTGAAGCCGGAGGTAGGCTGGTGCCTCTGAATTTCCTGTGGTTCCCCCCAAGTACTTGAAGGAAGACGCCAGGCACACCCGGGTTCGCGCGTCACAGCTAAATGCCAGTCTAAATGAAAGGTTCTGGTGATATCGGGGCAGTGTGAGGTGGGTAGACGGATGTAGGCTGTCTAGGAAGTACCTAATAGAAGGTCCTCCAATCCTGTTTCTCCTCCCTGACAAGCCCACGCAACAACCCATCGCAAGCCTCAGGAAGGGTGCCATCATTCTGGCCCTAAGTCGTGCACAACAGCTCGCTCATCGGTGTGACACAGCTCTGCTCCAAAGGTGAGCAGAGAGAAAATGGAAA